CATCTTCCCGCTGCCAAGGTTGAGAAACGCTGCCTTAAGTTCTGTGCCAGTCTTCATATGTTTGGCATGTGTGGAATTGTAACTTTTCTAGAAAAACAGGTTTTTTGGGGGGGGGGGAATAGAGAAAAATGGAAATATAAGTAAAATATACTTTACTCATATTTTAATATCCTTTATAAATATAAATGCATAAATGAGTGTTGCTGCCAGTGTCTACCCCTGTTTCATACCCCTGGGACTTGAGGGAGAAGCAAATCTGCCATCTATCTATCTATCTATCTATCTATCTATCTATCTATCTATCTATCTATCTATCTATCTTTCAGATTTAGATACCGCCCATCTCACAAAAAGTGACTCTTTTGTGACAATTAAAAGTCAACAAGAGAATCCAACTTTATAAACAGAGGACCGATTCCTTCTTTTCTTGGGAAAGCGTTACTGCCCCTCAAAGGAAGGAAATGCATCCTTGTCTTTGCTTTGGAGAGATGCAACTGAGCTGTACTGAGTTATACAAAGCTTATCCTCTCTCTATGCAGGAATCTGAGGCTATAACTAGCCTTCTAAAGAAATCTTATTACATAGTTTTTAGAAACAGTTTTGAGGACAAAACATTGACAGCAATATATAAACACTTTTCTTTATCAGTTTCTTTAATTTTAATTTTAAGGCCCCAGGCTAGAAAGCAGGAGATGGTGAGTTCTAGTCCCGCCTTAGGCATAAAAGCCAGCTGGGTGACTTTGGGCCAGTCCCTCTCTCTCAGCCCCTCACAGGGTTGTTGTTGTGGGGAAAATAGGAGGAGGAAGGAGTATTAGGTATGTTTGCTGCCTTGAGTTATTTATAAAAACAAGAAAGTAAATAAACCATCTTAAAAAAAAAAAGGAAGAAATATCTCAGAATCATTGGTGTAAAACCAGACCATGTTTGACAGAAATTGTATAATTTGTTTCAAATTTATGTAGGGAGGAGATAATTTTTTAAAAAAATATTTTCTCACCAGCTGAACATGCTTAATTTAGACCACTTACACTGAGGTATGAACTCACCTCTTGTCTATTCTTTCATAGTAATGTATAACTCTATATACACTGCTATCTCATATTTACTCAGAGGACCGGTTTATATGAACAATTAATATTTTATTTAACAATAATATTATATGATGAGACAATCCAGGACATGAGGAGTTTAGATTTTTTAGAGAAGTATGTCAACAAATCTCCTCCTGTGTACTTAATTATGGAATTACTATTTGGCTTGTCACAAGGAGTTTCAAGACTTTCTCTTCACTTTTATTTTAGCTATATGTACTATCTCCTTTTTTCTTTTCTCTCTTTTTTATTCTGTCCAAGTGTCAACTCTCTGTCTCTCCACCCCCACCCTACCCTTAGCTTTCTAGCCATCGCCTTCATAAGGAAGTGGTCAGTTAATTCTTTACTTATGTTCTAGCGGAACAACAACAAAAATTAATCACACGCTTTTTTAATCCAATTTTTGGAAATAGCAACATTTTTTTTTCTTCCTAGCATTTTTCCCGCACGTGCAGGGTCCCCCTTTTTTTTTTCCAGATCAACCTGATGTTGATCCGAGAATCAACCAGCCGGCTTGTCACCTGAACCTGACAATAAAACAGGGGGGGGAAAACCCTCTCCCTCTCCCCCTCCCCATTTCTCCACTTATTTCCTATACTCTCATGCTATGAAGCATGTTCCTTTAAACTTCTGTTTCAGCTAGGAATGGGTTGCACGTTGCAGCCCCTCGATGCTTGGTTGGGAGATGTAGAAAGGGCTCCCTTTGAAGGAAGGTTCACTTGCCATGAACTTTCCTTGGGTCAGCCCAACAAAGTTGAGATGCTCTGGATTTTTACTGAGTTGATCCAAATACTAAGCCATGCAAGACAGTATCTGTGGAGAGCTGTTCTTTATGCACTTCAAATGAAACACAGCTATGAACTATAAAGTTAGATGCAGAATACTCCAGCGTGAGATCTCCCTGTGTTATGATCGTGTTAGTAGGAGTATTTTACTGGCAATTAAGAACAAATACCGATACATGGGAGGGGAGTGTATATAAACACTGTAAAATAAGTGAATAAAAACAAACAGATAAATGAACAAACATGGCAACATATAGCATGTGAATTGTTGATGTACTTTTCACTGTTCTAGAAGTAGCTGAGTTGAGCCACTTGAAAGCGATGAAACAAATCCATTCCAGAAAAGTTACCCATCAATAGCCCATATCAGGTTACATTAATAGATACTGGTGAATATTGAATCTCACCATTAAAGGTTTCTGTGAATATACTTTTTGCATATTAATGTTGGTCTTACTTTTTAATTCTTTTAGCAGCCAAAAGAAATGAAAGCAAGCGGTACCAACAAGGGAAATGAGGTAGGAAGAAATAATTGTCTGGGCTGTATTTGCAGCACAATTCCACTGACTTCTATTTGATGGAAGAAAATAATATTACAGTATTTGAAACATAAATGTTAATCCATCCTAAGGGGTATTACCTTAGAGGGAACTACCTAAAATGGATAAATTGATTCCAGGCACATATAATGGCACCATGGTTTATAATTTGTTATCATGTATTATTTGTTCAAAGATAGATAAATCTGTCTTAATGCTGAACACCCTGAACACCTAAACTCAGACAAAAGTCTGTTTTTGGAGAGAGAAAAAAATGTATAAATGGAGCCTAAGAATCAGGCTAACCAGTTTTTAAATAATAGGCAAAGTTATAGAAGAACATGATCACTAAACTTTTATATTCAATTCATTTTTCCCTCCCATTTACGTTTAATAGAGAATTGGCTTGTGGCTCCCTCTTCTGGTCTTTTTTTGTCATCGGAGATTTACCAGATGAAAATACAAAATAATATCTGTAATATACAAATCTGAATTTGAAATTAACGCATAACAATGCGCAGTGCTCAGCTTGATTTCCACTTATGGGATTTGAGGATATGAGCAAGATTTTTCTAGTGGTGCAGCCTGTGAGCTGCCCTGGCCCATTATGCTTTAGCAAAGATGATACTGTAAATATCACAAGGCAGCTGTACTCTTCCTTCTTAACACTCCTAATCAGTGTCATTTCAAAACCGGTTTTCCTCTTTTCAGATTCCTCAAGTGGTAACTGAAGAACTACATTCTGTCACTTTCGAAACACAGATCTGCTTATATGGGCTGACCATAGACCTGGAGGTAAGTGCTTTTTGACCAGGCTGAATGAATGGGAAAACACTTGAATTACAAATAAAGCACACTACTCACTAGCAGATTGTGGTGGCGGATGTGCCTATATACAGCTGATCAGATTAGACTGCTTTGAAGACATCCTGTGGCTCTCTTAAGCAACTAAAAATGTAAGCTGGGCCTTCACTTAAAAAGGTAGAAAGGGAGCCTAACCTAACTACAAATAATTGCTACTTTAAAAAAAAAAAAATCTGTACTTCTAGGAAAAAGGGCTGACATAAAGAATTGAGTGTTTGAGAGGTTTGGCTTTGAATAACAATTTACTAGGGGATGTTTAATCACTGTGCTTTTTAAAGGAGATATTGAATTCTATATAATTATTTGTTCTGGTCATAGCTGAACCCTGATTCTTAATTGTGGATCAATAGAACAATGTAAACATGACTAATTTTGTCCTATTGCTTTCAGTGGGCAACTAAGCCTGTATCAGGATCTGACCAAAGTCAGCTAAGCAAAAATGGGTTCATAATTAGTTATACTTTTGGCAGGTAAAAATTGCCTGCACACTCTCTTTTTTCTGCTTAGAGATGAAACATACAAACCATTATTTGCAGTAAGATTCTTGGAAAACTTTGCCTATTACCGTTGTCAAACAAAACATTGGATTATATGTGTCATTGATCTGATTCAATCAAGTTCTTTATAATGTAGATAAGTTATTAAATAATACCGCTATTATAGTTAATATTGCATTACCATAAAATTTCTGCTACAATTTCACTGCAAAATAATGAATAATGTTGCATTTGGCAACAGTGTTATGCCTGAACAGGTAAGTACCTGTTTTAGATGCCTGAGAATACATATTATGAAAATATTTCTTTTTTGGATAGGAAGGATTATAGAATAGCTTGAAGAGAACTTAATCAAGGTTTCTCAACCTTGGCAACTTGAAGATGTGTGACTTGAACTCCCAGAATTCCCTAGCCAGCCCTTCCCCCCAGTCACGCTGGCTGGGGAATTCTGGAAGTTGAAGTCCACATGTCTTCAAGCTGCCAAGGTTGAGAAACACTACCTTAGATGGTTCTCATTTCTTGTTTTTCTGCATGTGTAACTTCTGATACAAACTGATCTTGACTCTCTGCTAGGAGTGTCTGCTTGAAAACCAGCTGCTGATGGGTTGAAGAGTTCAGTAAGAATTTTGTGCTCTGTGCAAAGACTTGCTCCTTCCACTAAGTTTGCCTGCTGAATAAACATTCCATTTGCTTCTTCTTTTTCATCCCACGTGTTTTTTAAAAAATCTGAAACTTAAATAGCTAACGGAAAATTAACTATATTATTTGTGAGTCCTCAGCACAAAAACAATCTCATCTGCATACGTTAATATTTGCCTAATTTGTTTAGAATGTAGGATTTGCTTCTGAGGTAGATTAGCCTACACTGTGCATAATATATTTTATATATAGTCCAGCAGGGAAAGCTGAGTTCCAGGAATATTAAATACTTGCAAAAATCTGTGAGAGCGTGTTCTCAGCATGGCTTTTTGATTACATTCCTTTCTAACATTACAATACTTCTTGTAATGCATTTGTTGTAAAATTGCAACCTACTCCCCATGCAGTTACACCTTGCTGTATACTGGGTCTACCCTGACTTTCTTCATCTATCTTTCTCATCAGACAAGCTCTTTACCAGTGGTGATGATTTCGAATGTCAGCCAATTGCCTAATGCTTGGGCTTCGGTTATTTGGTACAACTTGTCAACAAGTGAACCCCAGGTATGTTCTGCATAGCCAATGATCTTTTTCACAAGTTGGGTATAAAAGCACATAGGGCTTCTTGGACTTCTTTCCTGTAATGTCACTGATGTGAGATCGTACAGCCGGAAATGATTCGGAGAGCCCATGAACAGAACTCTGTTCCTAAGGCTGCTCTGTCAGAAGAAAGGAAGGGGAGGGGAGGGAGGCCATTATCTTGAGTCTTCTCCATCTTCGCTCTGCAGCTTCTAATGCCAGTTTCTTCCAAGCCATTCAAAACAACTTTTCTTCTAGGGTAGAGGGGCTGCAGTAGAAAAGAGAAATAAATATATATGCCCTCTGCTAATTGGTTTCCTGAAGAGTGTCCCCTGGGCCTGAGTCTCTTTTGCAATTGGAAATAACTATTCTATTTGCAAACTCTGCATGCTGTTTATGCCCCACGTTTTCAAAATAGGTGCACTTTAATACATAGCTTGCTTCATGTCTCTTTATGCACTTGTTCATTTATACTCATATTATTGCATGCCCTTTTCTCTAATGTAGGTATTTTTGTAGGCTACATTTTGACTGAAACACACCCTTTGGAGAAGTGCAAATGCTCTAATGGTCTCTTGATTTTTCTAGCTTACAAAATGAAAAGATGAATATAAAGATGCTTAGAAAAAGTACATGTTCCCATATTTTAGGGCTATACAGAATAGCTGGTAAAGCAACTGGCTTAGTAGTGCATACTTCATAGCTGAAGTTAGTAAAGCAAATAGAAATCAGTACACCCAGTAAAGAACAACTATGGACTTAAAAGCACTGTAGAGCTACACCCAGCCCACTTGCATACAAACAAGGGTAAAACTGTTGTAAAACTGAATCCTTGCTGTTCAAAGCCAGCCAATTATAACTGTACTTTTTTGCCTCTGAAAAGACGCAATGATTTTCTCATTTCTGAAGTGCAAAACATCTCCGTGTTATTTGAAACCTACTAAATCCTTATTTTCGTGATATTACTGTACATGTCCTTTAACAGTTTCCTTCCAGAGTCTCCAAAAAATGAACTCCTTAGAGATTTTGACTTTATGAAAAAGCTTTGAATGTTCACAATATTTAAAGATAATTATTATTCCTTGCATTTCTACCTCTACCTTTGGCCCTTCGGAGTCTCCCGGCAGCTTGCAGTAACACGTGAAAACTGGAAGTGGAGCTAACCAAATTCTGTATTAATTTTTATTTGGCTGCAGAACTTGGCTTTCTTTAATAATCCCATGCCCATCACTTTGAGTCAGCTCTTAGAAGTCCTCAGCTGGCAGTTTTCATCGTATGTTGGCCGTGGACTGAATTCAGATCAACTTGGTATGCTGGCAGAAAAGCTAACAGGTAGGAACTGAGAACATGCTTTGCCTTGTCAGACTAATGAAGCTTGTATACAATTTCCCATCCACTGTTTGACATGGATATGAGAGTTTCAATTACAGCAGTAGAAAAGAGTCTTTGGTTTGAAGCTCCAGTTAAGAAAACAGGTTTGTCTTTTTAAACAGTCTTGGCTTTATCTGAAAACAAGTAAATTTTTTGGAAAGATGTCACCCCTCACTTTTTTTCATTTATATTTTAGGGCAACAGATTACTTCCAGTGATCCTCAGCTTTCATGGTCAAAATTCTGTAAGGTACTGTATGTCATTAATATACTTCACTTTCAAAATGTTACTTTCCTTTATGTTTGTACATCAGCTCGATCCTGCAGTATCATAGAATCCTATGCAGTATCATAGAATCTTCCTATAAGGTTCTTTCTGTTCTTTGTTTCAAGTAAATGTAGACTTCATGTGAAATTTCTGTAAGCAACCTTACTTTTAAAAATGCAGCCTCCCTATTGCAAATAAAATGGCTAGTGGGGCTACCTTGTTTCACTGGTGAAAAGTTGGCCGTACTATTTGTAAAAGAAACCACTTGTTAAGCGCGACAAAGCAAGAGAGAGTTTTTAAATGCATTAACAAAGTTTTAGAGAGGAAATAGTGGAAAAGTTAAGTCTGACACTGTTTATATCTTTTCTATAAAAAAATATCGGAAATGCCAGTAGAAAACACATTCACAAAACAGTGTGATCACTTGAGCAAAACTAGTAGAGGAATCACTGAATAGGCATTGATAGAGCATTTTTCTTGTTTCCTTCTATTTTCTTGCTTATCTGAGATGGAGCCGAGTTTCATTAACTGAAACTTGGGTCTCCGAAGAAAGGTATAGGACTGAGGTATGAAAGACTAGGATGCTGTTCCTACTGGCAGGGGAATATTCTGAATGGAATTCCTCTCTCTTGACGTTCCTGCTCTTGGACATAAGTGGTGGGGAGGTGGTTTTCTCTCAGATTCTCAAGACCCGTGTAGATGGCAAACCAAGGAAGTGAGAACCACGGGGATTTCAGGAAGGTATCCTTCATGCTAGTCTGAGGTAAAAACAGAATCTTAAAAACTGTAAAAGTAAATTCCCAGCCAGAGGTGGAGTGAGTTAATTAAGACAGAGACTCTTTCTTCCTACAACTTTCACATCTAAACTCTCCTCCTCCCTGCTTTCTTCCCATAGTCTCTCGTGCTTATTCCCTTTTTTCCTGCATCACCATATGCTCCTTGGATTCCCAGATTCCCTCCAAAGGGTTGAGGGAGTCTCTCAAATACTGTGAGAGCTGCAGGAAGAAGAAGGAATTGGTGGGATTTCACTAATAGGATTTTCAACTGGATCTTGGTCCTGTCATGAAATGGAAGGAGGGTTTCTATTCACATACACTTCCATAAGATCCAGGGTCTATAATTCCTGTATCTAGGTAATGAACTGCAAATGCCTAGTTTCAAGTAATGCTAGAATATGATCATTTTTGTGTTAATTTTCCACAGTACATGAAACAGATGTACAAATTACTAACCTGTGCTTTTCTGCTTAGGGTATAATATGCATCTGAGAAATTAGCACTGTGCAACTACTTTGCAGTTAGATATTCCCATGCTATCTCAAACCCATGAAAAGCAGAGCTACAAATAAATAAATAATATATCTCACTGTCATTATTTTCTGTACTATGCGAAGCAACCATAGTAATCAGATGCCACATTTAATCAACCTACTGATTATTTATCAATGATTTCTGTTTTAGACAATAACTACCATTTGATCTATATATTTAGATGATACATTAATATTAGTATTAAGGATGTGCTGGGGTCAGTTCATATGTTTATATCTATGCATGCATCTACAGTACATTTGGTAGTGATTAATTTACAGTTATGCATTTTAAACCCTACTATCTCCCAAATTTAATGAAGGTTGCCACATTTTTTTTAAAAATGCTATCTTTGGGCTGTGTGTGTTTTTGATATGTTTTGTTTCAGTATATTTAATATTAATCTATGAATCAATTTGGTGTATGGTGCACAAATAGATGGCTGTAGAATAAAACAGCCAATAACTATGTTTCCACCAGTGACCCTGCATGCTCAGTTCAAACATCTTTTGGAAGATGATGATTAATTTAAATTTATTGGCTGCCCAACTCCAGTGGAATCTGGGCAATGTACAAAACTAGGGGGAAAACCCATAAAAACAGCCCAAAACATTAAATCAGTCAGGCAGCCCAGATTAAATTAAGAACAAATACCTTGAAAATAAATACAACTATATTCAAATTATTTATTTAATTAAATTTATGTGCTGCCTTTCTCCCAATGACTCTGGACAGTTAACAAGTAAAAGACATTTAAAAACAGGGGGGGGGACCCCATAATAGACAAAAATAAAGGAGTAAAAGATGGCAAAGGTTACCAAAACTGGACAGGAACCAAAGAGATATAGACTCATACAACCCAAAAGGGGCTTCAGTCATATTCAGTCTTAATCAAATTATACAAGTGCTCTGTCTCTCTGTCTTTCCTCTTTCTTTAGTTTGTTGGTTAGTTTTTGGTTTGAAAAAAAATGCTAAGGAAGAAAAATATAGCTTTCTGCAGAGGTGAAGTTTCTTAGCTCCAGCGCTGGCTTGACCACGTTGGTGTCTGCCAGGATCGTAGACCCTATCAATGATGCCTGCCTTCAGACCCTCCCTCTTCTAAATATCTTTCTTCTGTGCCATTCTTAATTCATACTGGGCAGATATGGGAGGCAAAATTTCATTGTAAACAATCTCTGATGTAGAACTTTTTGAAGGCATTATTTGAAAACTTCCAATTGTCTAATACTGCTTCAGAGAGCTGTTGCCACCATGGCTAAGAAGTCAACAGCTCCCTGAAGTTCACTCCTATATTTTTCAATTTACAAATCAAAAATATAGAAAATTAACTTTTTAAAAATCTTATTAATTGAAAAATGCTGATGCATATGCAAAATGGGACATGAATCTCTATTTATTTATTTATTAGAAAAGGAGTGAATTCATTGAGCAAGTGAACAAGGAATGCTAGTAGGAGTTCACCATGAGATTTCAACAGGAGAAAGAGAGGGATGTGAGGTCAACAGGAGAAAGAGAGAGATGTGAATTTGAGGAATGTGGAGTCCTTGGTGGTTTCTGAGCTTGATTGTTTGCTTGTAGAAGTTTCATTACTCAACAATCTGCGGGACTGTTGAACTGTAAGAGATGAAAAGATTATTTTCTGTATAGCTGCTGATTGCAATTAGTGGGTCCTTGGAGAAGTTGATTGCCCAATGAGAGTGGTTGAGTAACTACTTCCTACCAAGTAAACAAATACTGTAAAAAGAATATAAGGCAACCATATTTCAGGGAGTGAACTGGAAAGCAAATAAGGATTTCTTTGCCAGGAGACCTTTTTGAGTTCCTAACAGACTTTCTTTCTCTAAGCTTTATATTTTGCAAAGGTGATCCACAATACTTGTGGCATTTTGTCTTTATACCTGAAAACAACCTGGCATGTATTTGTAGGAAATGCAAGTTTGTAGTAGTCCTTAGAGCAGCAAATTACCACACTACAGCTGATAAGAAAGAATGATCATTTATCAGTTCAAAGAAAGGAAGTTCTATAACGGAAACTGACAATGAAAGTAACTCCCCATATGGACTAAGCATAGTGATTGAGAGTTACAACCAAAAGTTAGAGCCCTAGAAGATATCCTGCACCACTGGAACTCAGAAACTATTTTCAGGCTTGCAGATGAAACAGGCTCTGAATGTTCAAGAGAAGAAAAACAGGTGCTGTGGAATGGAAGACAAGGTGATAGACCTCTAAAGAACAAAAGAGGATGCAACTGTGCCCTATAAGAAGACAAAGAGAATAGTTATAGTATTTAGTGCCTCAGTACTATGAGGAATGAAACAAATGCATACTGATAGGATCCACTGGGAGCAGGAGTGTGCTCTCTGTTAGAAGCAAGGATAACATGAAAGAACAACTTCCAAGACTTATCAACTAACTGATAATTATTCTTTTCTGCTAATACATGAGAGGTCAAACAATAGGGCAAAGAACAGTTACAGCCATATCTCCCCAGACCTTGAAAATAGCAGAAGGAAGTTTGAGACTCTGTAGGCTCAAAAGGTATTCTCATCCATCCTTCTGATCCATGGAAGAGGACTGGAAAAGGAAAAAAAACAATGCTGCAATTCAGTGTCTGGCTATGCAAATAGCATTGACAGAAGATATTTGGATTTTAGGACAATGATCTACAGGCAGTCCTCGGCTTACGATGGCAATTGGGACCGGAATTTCCATCACTAAGCAATGCGGTCATAAAGAGCGACTGCATCACTTAGCGACTGCAATTCCTGCAGTCCACATTGCTGTCATTAACTGAAGCCCATGGTCATTAGGTGAGGCAACTTCCTGCCGGCTTCCCACAACCAAAGTCAGTGGGGAAGCCAGCAGGAAGTTGTAAGTCCCAGACCCGCAGGCAGGTAAGTGAAGGGGCGGGTGGGGATGTGGGGGAGGATCAGGGAGGATATGCAAGAGGTGTGGTGTGGTGCTGCAAGGGGGTGCATGAGGCACTGTGTGGGTTGGGGAGGGTTGAGAAGTGTGTGTGGGGGTGCATGAGGGGCACCGTGCAGGTCAGGGAGGAGGCACGAGGGTGTGAGGGGGTGCGTGAGGGGCACCGCACAGGTTGGGGAGGGTGCGCGAGGCTGCATGAGAGGTGCTGCGCAGGTCAGGGAGGATGCATGAGAGTGCACAAGAGGCACTGTGTGGGTTGGGGAAGGTTGAAGAGGGTGCGCGGGGGCGCATGAGAGGTGCTGTGCGGGTCGGCGAGGGTGTGCGGGGGTGTGGCACAGGTTGGGGATGATGTGCAGGGGTGTGTGAGGGGCTGGCATGGTGCCAGCGCAGAGGGCCTGGGGAAGGGTGCACAAGTGGGGGAGACTTAACCCAGCAACTTGTGTTCTTCCCTGCCAGCTTCCCCTTTGACTTTCTGAGGAAGTTGGCATGGAAGGTTGCAAATGGTGAACGTATGATCCTGGGGCACTCGGCAGCCAGTTGTATGTGCAAACAGGTTGCCAAGTATCCTGATCGCGATCACGTGACCACAGGGGTGCTGGGACAGCCAGAAATCCTAGGACCGGTCATAACCATAATTCATTCAGTGCCATCGTAACTTTGAACGGTTGCTGAACAAATGGTCATAAATTAAGGACTACCTGTAATGGACTGCTAAGTTGGACCTGACAAAGACTGGTAAAAATACATTTTGCCAAAGCCTAGTGAGCTGATTTATCCTGTGGGGAATGGAAATTGAAACTCTGAAGCAAGGGCCTAAGATAACTTGTGTACTGCAGAAAGTGAAAGTATGGCTTAATCCAGACAGTGAAAAACTAGAAACAACATTGACTCATAAAGGTCATGGCCCTAATTGCCTATATGCTAAAAGTCAGAGTACTGAACCAGCTAAGTTTGAGTTCTTAGTACAAAAAGGCAAATGTGATTTAAAAAACATAATGGAGACCTGTTGGAATGATTCCCAAGACTGGAATACAGCTATTAAAGAATACAATTTATTTTGGAGGAACTGAAGAAATTGAAAGGAACAATTGCATTATATGTTAAAAGTATTCAGAAATCCAAATGAACTTGGCAGTGCTGTAGAAAACGTCTTGGCTAAAATAAGTGGAGGATTAAATAAAAGCTATACTGCTTCTCCTTGCATGCTTAAATAAGGAGGACACATGGATATTTCTCCCAAAGTAAGTTGCATATCTTTGGAAGAGGCATGAAATCACAGCAATGGAAGATTTTAATTCTCTGACATCTGTTGGGAGACAAATTCTGCCAAGCATGCCCTTTCTAGGAAATTCCTCACTTGTCTTGCTGACGTTTTCCTTCAGAGCAGAGAGGAAAGCACAAGATCAGCTATTTTTGACTTGATACTTGAAGAAATGGAAGTAGCAAGAATATTGGAGAAGTGAACATGTCCTGCTGGAGTTCTTGATTTTAATGGCAACTTAACTGAGAGTAGTCAAATACGTATCTTTGGCTTCAAAAACATGGATTCCAATAAATCCATTTTTTATTTTTTGGAATTATAAATAAAAATCCAAGGCAAAGAGTTTCTTCAGGTATGTTCAAAAGAAAAAGAAAAGAAAAAGGACAGCTCAATATTAATAGGTAACAAACCCCCCCCCCCCCCAAAAAAAGGCAGGGCTACTCAACTCCTATTTTGTTCAGTGTTCTCTAACAAAACAGTATATGTTCCACCAGGAAACTGTGAATAGGAGGATGAAGGGGCAGACCTGAAGCTTGAAGTCTTTTTATCTTGTATGAGTTTACATCTCCAGGGCCAGATGAATTGCATCCTAGCATATTGAAGGAACTAGGTAATGACCTGGACAAACCTTTATGTATTATTTTTGAGGTACCATGGAGAACAGGTGAAGTACCAGATGACTGGAACAGAACCAATGTTGCTATTTTAAAAAGTTTTTAGGACAGTGATCTAACAGACTGTTAAGTAGGACCCAACAAGGACTGGTAAAAATGTATGTTGCCAAAGCCTAGTGAGTTGATTTATCCTGTGAGGAATGGAAATTGAAAGTCTGAAGTAAGGGCCTAAGATACACTGTAGAAAGTGAAAGTATTGCTTAAACCAGTCAGTGAAAAGCTAGAAAAAACATTGCCTCATAAAGTTCATGGCCCTCATTGTCTATATGCTAATAGTCAGAGTACTGAACCAGCTGAGTTTGAGTTCTTAGTACAAAAAGGCAAATGTGATTTAAAAGGCATAATGGAGACCTGTTGGAATGATTCCCAAGACTGGAATACAGCTATTAAAGAATACTGGAACAGAGCCAATATTGCTATTTTTAAAAAGGGGGAAATTCTGACCATTTTGTCTGACTTCTGTACTTGAGAAGATAGTAGAATAGATAATTTAAAAAACTGACCTGTAAGCATCTTGAAAACAATGCGATAATTATCAGGATCCAGTCTGACAAGTCTTGTCAGACTAACCTTATCTCATTTTTTGATTGAGTAACTTCCTTAATAGATTACTGGAATTATGAAAACATAATATATCTTGAATTCAGGAAGACATCTGGCACAGTAATAAATGGATATATAGCTCCCTCAAAAATAATTCTGAAAGAGTACAGGTAGTCCTCATTTACTGATCACTCGTTCAGTGACTGTTTGAAGTTTTGACAGTCCTGAAAAACTTGTGGCCATTGCAGCATCCACACAGTCACATGATCATGGTTTGGGCACTTGGCAACTAGAGTGCATTTACAATGATCACAGCATCCTGAGGTCACATGATCACCATTTGTGACCTTCACAGCCGGCTTCTGACAAGCAAAGTCAATGGGGAAGCTGGCAGGCAGTCACAAGTTGTGGTCACATGGTTTTGCACTTAAAAACCCACAATGGTTCGCTTAACAACTGCAGCTGACATTTCACTTTACGACTGCATCACTTAGCAATAGAGTTGCCAGTCCCAATTGCAGTCGGTAAGTGAGGACTACCTATACTCATCAATGATTCCTCATTAGATGGAAATGACACTGAGTGGAGTGCCAGTCCTGGGTGCTTTACTCTTCAATGTTTTTATAAATGACTTGAATGATGAGTACTTACTGGTATGTTACTTAAATATATGGCTTCATTTATACTATTTTAATTTAGTGTATTCGATTTCTGTGTACCCAATTTGTTTTATAAACAGGAACACTTGCCTGGTAAATCATTTACATTTTGGACGTGGCTTGAAGCAATCTTGGATCTGATTAAAAAACACATTCTTCCTCTTTGGATTGATGGGTAAGCAGGACTTTTGCAATGAGTAAATTAGCCATGGGGAAAGCTTTGCTTGTGGTTTTTTCCTTTTTAAGTACAATTTTATATTAATATTTTAATATAAATATATA